CGTTAAGGACGAGGAGAGGGGGGAGGGAGGAGGAAGGAATAGAAGAAGGGAGGAAGGAAGTGGGAAGTGGATGGAGGGGAGGAGGGAGGAAGGGGAAAAGGAGGGAAGGAAGAGGGAGGGAGGGAGGGAGGGGAGGAAGGAGGAAAGGCAGGGAAGGAATAAAGGAACGGGGAAGGAGGAAGGAATAAACGAATAAACGAATAGAGATCAAGGTAGAAACGGGATCCAGGAAGGAAGACAGAAAGCAAAGGTATAAAGAAAGGAACGAGCAAGATGAAGGAACGCAGTGTGAAGGTAAAACGTAATATAGCAAACGCAAAAACTCACTATCCATCTGCCTGATCTGCGCCTGCAGCGTATTGAGCACGTCCGTCTGCTGCATCAGATTCTTGTGCTCCGGCCCCATCTTGTTCAGCTTCTTCTCCGCGCTGTCGGCGCGCGCGTGTGTGGCTTTGCGCCGGCGCTTCAGCTCGTCGAGGGCTTCTTCGCGCGTGCGGATGGATTTGAGGTGCTACAATGCAAGTGAATTAGCGAAAGCGGAAAGGGAGAAGGGGGAGAAAAATGGGAGAGGGAACGGGCGGGGCGGGAGAGGGGAGGGCGGGGCGGGAGAGGGGAGGGGAGGGAGGGGAAAGAAGGGGGAACAGAGCCATCGCGGACGGTCGTGCGTGCTCGTAGTATACAAGCACAGACGCGACACCGCTCTATTGTCATTGTACCATCCCCGAGGCGCGGCCCGCCCAAGTTCGTGACCGCGCGCCCAGACCTGAGATCCCGCTGAATGGCGAATGGCATCACATCGTGCATCGCACATAGTACCCAGCGGGAGCGGGCAGTACACTCACACCCCTCCCCACGGTGCGGAAATCAGAAATCAGAAGCGCAGGCGCCGGCGCCTGGAGAGCATTGTCATCCGGTCGTATGCGCCCCACGCTGCCGTGCGGGGGAGAGGAGGGCAGGGTGCACGATTCCGAGTCGAATCGCGCCGTCGCGGACCCGCCAGAGAGAGACGCGACGACGCGGGGAAGAGGCCTGCTGCCGAGGCGGACATAGAGCGCGCCCAGACCAGGCCAGGCCAAAGATACGAATGGCATGGCATCGCGGGCAGTCGTGCATGTCCATAGTACCCCGCTGTCTCTGGGGGTGAAGATCGCAAGCGCCTGACGACATCCAAGCCGTGTACGTTCGCGTGCGGGTCGCATAGCACACGCGGGATGATTGCGCGCACGACCGAACAGCGACCCATAGGCGTACGGCAAGCACCACAGAGTACTCCACCCCGAGACACGGAGATGACGAATGGACCGAGCGTGGGCCGTCCGCAGCGCGAGACCGATATAGCGCGCGCCGAGTCCCGTTGGTGATGGATGGCAGGCGACATGACACCAGCGCTCAAGCAAGAGTAGACACTCACATCGCGAATAGCGTGTTCCTTCGACGCATACGCCGACAGCGCCGCCGAAAAGTGCCCCAGCACCGTCGTCGATCCGCTCAGGATGTCCTGCCACACAAAATCAGGTTACACTTGTACGCACTCGCAATGCACGCACGCCGAGATCGTCCCCCTCGCCGACACCCCACACCCTCAGCGCCTCGCTCGCCTTGCTAAAGTCCACCGCGAGCTTCTGCATCCTATAAGACACACCACGTCAGTCTTCCCACTCCCAATACGCGGGGAAGTGCACACGATATGAGGACGACCTTCTCTGCGGTGATGAGGTCTTGCAGCGGTCGCAGGTCCTTGTTTCCCGACAGCGCGAGGGCCGGGAGGGTTGAGTTGTGCGCGATCTTGGTCGCGGCGCTCTTGAACATTGTGGACGGAGGAAGGAGAAGACTCCAAGACGGAGCACAGCTTTCGGCCTGTCAGCGCCATTTCGTCACACGCCTAAATTAAGGAACACAATGTTCAAGTCGAGTTGAACCGTGGAAATTCCTGAAGCTCATTGCAAGAGTTGACAGCAGCTCTCTTCGCATTTTACTCGTGGATTTCTTCGTCGATTATCTGCTCTCTTCAGAGCATCCGAAATTCAACCAAAATTAGTTGAAAACTGCGGAAAGCCAAACATAGAACACATGTCGGGGAGTATATACAAAACTCGGACGTTACTTACATTCTTGAACCCGGTACATTCCAAAGAAACACGGTACATTTTCGCGCATGTACCGCCTTTGAGATCAAACCCGGCACTTGCCATATTCAAATGTACCGTGTACCGGCAGAATGGATGGCACGTGTGTTGGATCATTGTTCGATCCTCGCTTATGCATCCTGTCCTCTCCCACCACCATCCCCCGCCCCCGACGCGTCGAAAGCGCGTCAAAACACCCCCCGTACCACACCATGGCCGAAACGCAACCGCGCCGACAAAATATCTCGACAGCGCCCCGGAAATCTTCAGATACTCAAGCAACTTCGGTCGCAGAGGGAGGCGGACAGCAGATTAATAGGATCAGGGATGATTCCGTGAGTTTTTGCCCAATTGCTGTTCATTCTCACACTGAAGGTTACCTGGTGGAACCTCCCAACTTCGAGTCCTCGAGGGTACTGCTATTGCAGAATTTTTGAAAAGTTTTTCTTTGTTGGGCTCGGGGGCGAGCGCAAGGTGAGTGTCCGCTTTTGTGATATATTTGAGCCAGTTCTCGTCGTACGATCCCACACTGGATCCAGCGAACTTCAGCATTGCAGGCAGCGATTTCAACACCCTAATTCCCATCAATTCTGGTCTGCCTTTCGCAAGTCCTTTTTTGACGAGTCCGCGACGATGTATGGGTACTCTGGTGCGCTCCCTGACACCACCATTTCCTCCTTCACCGCGTCTACTGCTTTTGCTCCGGTTGAACCATTCGGGAACCAACTCCCCTCATTACCGCCACCTCCATCTGATTTGCCGCCGGTTCCCTCAACCCCTATGGAACCTCGAGCCAAAACCGTCCAGAGGTCGCGACGCGTTCGAAAAGAGGTCAATGAGGCAAATACTGTCACGTCGACGCGCTCCCGCGCTCCAACGGCACGTAAGCGCCTTGCAGACGGTGAGGTTTCAGAGCAGCCCCGTAAAAAAGCGAAGAGTACATGAGGTAGATCTTCTTGGTCTCTCCTCCATTTCTACCTCTGAGCTGATGATTTTCTAGGCACACACCGACAGTTTCATTCATAAAGTATCGTAGCGTTGTCTATCTGTGTTGGTTCGGCGATGAATATGATGAATTGATTTGTTTCGCCCTATACCAATGTGGGGGACAGCAGGCTAAGGGCTGTGACACCATCATATTGGTTTGGATTCATCCTAGGAGTATTTAGAAACCAAAAAGAAGTGTGCAAGTGTCTTTGCGCACCGGCAGGAACAGCGAAGATTTGTGGCAAATAGGTCACGTGCGATTTATCGCGGTGCCAAAAGAACATGGGGGGTCCCATGAAAAAAATCGCAAACCCAATCATTAATCTCAACAAATACCAATGGTCAATCCCTCCAACAGTATAAAAACGGAGGTTAGCGGGGCACTTGTTGACTGCTGAACTGTTGAGCGGGGCGTGGGAGATCACCATCACGGCGATCAAACTGCATGCGAAATGTACTGTACCATTTCGACCGATCCTTCAGGTGACGTGTGACGGAGGGTCGTGAAATGAAGGATTTTCGTGTCGGTGACGGTGACGGGCGGGTTTCCTGGCCGAATTGGGCCTAAAAACGTCAAAATTTTCGCTCCGGCATCCGCCGGACTACCATTTATGGTAATGTTGGCGTGATTGCCGAGGAATGAAGACCTTATCCAGTGAACCTTTGCGGTGACGGTGACATGGCGTGAAGGATCGGTCGAAATGCTACAGTACCGTCCTTTCAACAAACCCGGCACATGCCCCACGCAATGTACCTGGTTTAAAGGGAATGTACCGGGTCTAAAGGGGATGTACCGGGTTTGAAAAGGTAAATAATGTCCGAGTTTTGTTAATCCCGCATGTCGGGTGGTCAAGAATCAAGATAAATTTATACTGGAGGTAGACCGAGTCTGGAGCGGGCCTTCCCTCTATCCCTTGTTCACTTTCCTTCGGGTGGCATCCAGAGGCTACTGTAACTCCCGCCGTCTCCTCGAGGCTGTTGTTTCGAAACGAACGGAATGAAGTGACTCTCAGAGTCCACATTGCACAGCGGCTTTCTTCCAGCTCAGCCGATCGCATGCGAATATCTACGGAAAAGGCTCCCCGGCCGTCGATGGAGCTTGTTGGGTTGAACTTCAGCTGTGTCTCGGGCTTCGAGTTCAATCGCAATCCAGAAAACCCTCCCGCTGCGCTAGATTATTACGAAATGGGCATTTTCAAACTTTGGACGTTCTCTTCCCGAATCCCAACTTTTAGGATGAGCAAAAAAATAGACAAGACAAGTCCTGGCACGCCTCCGGAGGGAATCGAACCCCCGCTGAGTCCTCGACAGGATAATGAGGCAATAATCATCGAGCCGAGGCGACTTCCATAGTCCATAGAGGCTTGGATATACCTCAACCAGCTACAATGTGTGTGCACCTTTCGTCTCCCTCTGTCCTTCCGCGACGAGATTCGTGTTGATTTCGTGGGCCGGGCATCTCGGGCATCCGGCTCATGTCCTACATTGTTAATCGGCGGCCCCAGATGGCAACACGGGAGCTCCGTAGTCCGTCTAGTCCTGGGATCAACAAAACACGAAGCACAAGGTGGAAAAAAAAATCTTCCTCGAACTATCGGACAAGCCTGGGGGAATCGAACCCGGGCCCCCCGGGCCCTCTCCTCAATACTTTGGGACGGATGAGCATGGGTGACTGCCATGGTCCACAGAGGCTTCATTACTCTTCAAAACCGGTTGAATTGTCTGTGCACCCTCTATGGTTCCACAGACGTGTTGGAATTGGGTCAGGTATCTCATGCGTGCATCCGAGTCGTGTTCCAATCGCCTCCATGGGCCTTGTATGGGCCCAGACACCACACAAGTTCTCTATCGCGGAAAAAAAAACTTCATCTCTTGGCAATTAATGCAAGCCTCCGGAGGGAATCGAACCCCCATCTCCTCGACAAGCACGATGTTCACAGTTTAAAGAGCCGAGGTGACTCCCAGAGTCCACAGAGGCGTGAATTGTACATACCTGGACTGACCGGAATGCATTCTGTGCATTTTTTCTTTTGGTTTAACTCTGCCCTTCCGCGACGAGGTTCGTGTTGATTTTGTGGGCCGGGCTTTTCGGGCAAGTGCCCCCCGGAGAGAAATTGGCAATACGGGAGCTCCGTAGTCCGTCTAGTCCTGGGATCAACAAAACACGAAGCACAAGGTAGAAAAGAAAATCTCTCTCGAAGTCACCACAAGCCTCCGGAGGGAATCGAACCCCGTCTGCTCAATAATTTTCAATTGGGGACGGATCATGAGCTGAGGTGACATCCATAGTCCACAGAGGCTTCATTTCTCCTCCGACTGAATGAATGATTGTGCACCTTTTAGGCAAGCCTTGTCCTTTCGCGACGAGGTTGCGGGAATCGGGCATTTGAATCGTGTGCCATTCCACGCACCGAGCCATGAACTTTTCAGGTTTGGACGCTGGTCTAGGGCCCAAAAGAAAGGAAGGTGACGAAAAAGATGCTCACGCGAGTACTTTCACATGCCTCCGAAGGGAATCGAACCCCGGCGCGTCTCCTCAATGAAGTCGATCTGCTGTGCGCCTGTTCAGTTTCTATGAGGTGACTCCCACAGTACACAGAGGCTGTGATACTATCCCAACTAGCTGCCAGGATCCGAGCGCGCGAAATAATCTTATCGTCCCTGACAGGATTCAAGTTCAATTTGGGGCCGGTGTCTGGGGTATGCGCATGCGTACCGATTGAAAATTCGTGGCAGAGACTTAACGAACCCTGCAATAAAATAAGAAAAACTCCACTATCGCCAATATACACCTCCGGAGGGAATCGAACCCCGTCTCCTCAGATAATCCTCTTCAATCTCCTAGTCAGCTGAAGTGATTTCCACAGTCCACGGAGGCTTTACTCTGGACCGGGTTCCAATCCCCTCAATTTCAGGTGCACCTTTCGGGATACTTCTGTTCTTGAGCTCACCGTTATAATGATTCGTATTGATTTTGTGGGCGGGGCATCTCGGGCATCTGGCTCATGGGCTGAATCGCCAAACGGCGCCCCTCAGAAGGCAGCACGGGAGTTTCGCAGTCCGTCTATTCCTGGGATCAAGGGAAAAAAACAAGAAGATGGAGAGAAGAAAAAAACATCTCGACTTAAGGCCTCCGGAGGGAATCGAACCCCAGCCTGACAGAACACGACACAGAACGAAATGAGGCGACTTACATAGCCCACGGAGGCCTAACTGAGTTGGAAACATGTCCACCTTTTGATATAACTCTGTGCGTTTTTTGTGTTCAAATGTATCTCGGGCATCTCGGGCATCTCGGGCATGTTCATATCAATCCGCAACACAACTCATACGGTCAAATCCCCCTCTTCCATTGCTTTGAATGCTCGATAAGAGAATACTGGACGGCGATCAAGCGCAAGGGGGACAGTGCCCATGGGAATCTATATAAGAAAAGACGTGGTTTGGCTAGACAAAAGTGGCGCCTGTGGGAACGGGGTGATGTCATCCGTTCCGTACTCCGGAAGAATCCCCGGTTTCTGCCGATGGTTCATTTTGGCTTCACCCTGCTCCACCGCGATGTTACCTTCCAGGTCAAACGTCACAGGTGTTCATAGATAAGCTGCTTATGGAAATTTGATTATAGACATCAAGTGGACACCTAGATTTCACGCGGACTGAGCCAATTGAGAAACCCATCTTGCAACGATGAATTTTCCAAGCCAATTGCATACGCACATGAAGGCCAGTAAGCTTGGCCAATGGCAGCATCATATTCATCCACGGAGACCGTGTAATTGAAGCACACATTAAAAAGGTAAGAAAATCTTCGAGGGCTCTCCAACTTGGCTGAGATGCCCGACGTCAACCTCAAAAGGGTTCATATTGTAACCCGGCAGTCTATGAACGCAAAATAAGCAGTGCAATGAGGCTATTCAATCAGTTCAATTGGAGATGGAGTCTGGAGAATCACGAGGACCGAATGAAAAAGGATCCAGGACTGAACCCGAGATTCCGTAAATTGTTCGGTCATAAGCGCAAGCAAATGGAGAGTCGGCTGAGTATCTCGAGAACGTGTAAACCATATTCACTCTTAGATGAGGTGAAGGCAACCTAAATAGTGAACCAAATGCGAACTGTTAGTTGCACTTGGGTTGCAAAAAATGTGGGCACATACAAAGAGGAGTCCACTGACGTTCGACCGAAGGTGACGAAGAAAACTCTGGAAGACTGCGTCGCGGTGTTGGATTATTGGTTTAGCTCCACCATGATGTTGAGGTGTTTCCTGTATCACCAAAACGGTGTAATTTTCTAGCCAGGCCGAGTTCGTAAAGCCGATTTGCATACTGTCAAATTCTCGCGGAGATGAGGCAAGATGAAGGCGGTGATCGAAGCAGTTTAAGCCGAAGCTCAAAACATCACCTGAACCTGAAAAGGTATATTCAGAAATGCGGAAGGAGGTTACACGGTCTTAATGCTGCTAACGGGCTCAAGAAAGCCCCGGAATGCTGAGAAAATGAATTTTGAGAACTGTTCATGGGGCCGCGAGGAGTCGACCGAAGGTCGACGACGAGCAGCGCCTTCAAGTTCATGCAGATTACAGTTCAATATAAATTGCCAGTTGTTAAATTCCGTGGCGAAGCACGGGTAACTGCTATAAAGCTCTGAAACCAAGAGGCGGCCAGGTTGGTTCGCGCCGCTACTCCGAACGTTGAACCTTCGTTGAACCTGAACCTAGCGTTCAGAGTCACGAGTGCATGTCGATGTAGGACGCTGTCGTGTGGGATAAGATTGTGGATAAATTAGAGCACAGCGTGGTTCCGTTCGGAATATTAATGTGCCAGAGTGTAATCTACAGTATGTAACTGAGGTAAGGAGTGTAGTTAGATGCATCGTGTATGAACACCAGCAATTCCGGCTTTATCCCTGCAGACTCATTTTCATTTTCCGCCCCGCTGCTTCGCCACGAATTCCCGATCCTCTGGGCTCAGCCTATGCTCGTATTTGGAGAAGGTGGATACGGCTTCCAGGAACTCGTGGTCGATGATCGTAGCCTTCTGGGCTGAGCGCGGAGTTATCCTACACCGGAAAGACATTGGCTTTGATGTAGCGCCCTTGGAATTCGGGTCAATATGACCCTCTGTCGGTGACTCCACCAACTCACGGTTATGGTACGCCATGGTATCCACCTCGAGGGGATTTCCGTCCGCGTCGATGTCTTTGTCGAAGTTGAAGGCCCAGAGGAGGTTCATGACGTTGAGGTTCTGAATAAATATGAGCTCAGTGCATGGATGCGAGGGAAGACATACGATCGTGTGCTGGGCGACATGAATGCCCGGACAGATTCTCTGTGGGCTTTTGAGACGACAAGCTAGAACGAGAAGATCTGGCACTCACGCGGCCAACGCCGAAGGCAAGATTGGTTCGCAGATCACCACCAGCGTCCACGCCTGGCTTTGTGCCATTCTCGGTCAAGAGATAACGGTTCGGGATGAAACTCTCCGGGTCATCGAAGAGTTCAGGGTCGTGGAAAATGCCCCCTGATATGTGCGTCAGAACACAGAAGCAAAAGGATAGAATATTTCGACTCACAAGCATTGACAAAGATTGTGGCGCCTTTGGGAATGATATATCCGTTATACTGGATAGCACTCAGTGATTCGGCTTTGCTAAACTGGGCGGTCGCTCACCTCCTCCATAGCCAACGCACAGTGCGGGATGAGGAGGGGTCTGACAGGTCGGAAGCGATGGTTCTAAGAGACATCGTGAAAGACGTTCCGGAGAAATGGAGAGGAGGTCATACCTCCAAAATCAAAGCACGAATATACGGCATGTTTTCGAGGTCTTCTAACGTCGGCATCCGATTTCCACCAACAACACGGTCGATTTCTTCATGCACCTTCTTCTGTGCTTCGGGATACGCAATCAGGGCCAAGACAAGCGACTGCAGGTAGGCTGCGGTCGTTTGCGATCCAGCCTCGATCAGCACGCCGCTCAGATACCTAAAACAAGCATCAGAAAGGCTGTACCGAGGAAGAGGAAAAAGTATCGTGACCCGGTCATTTCCCGATCCATTCCAAGCTCTTCCTGCCTCTCGACCAACTCCTCGACGTAGCTTCCGTTGCCCTCGCCCTTGACCATTCTCTCCTTGGTGTCATCCAAAAGACCGAAGTACAGTTTATGCTGCATCCCGCGTACATTCGCCGCGTCGCGCTTCCACTTGGCCCAGCGCTCGGGGACGTATTTTAAGATGGGGAAAAAGTCCATGGGCGGCGTGGCGCCCGGTTCCAGGAGCGCTGTTCCGCCTCAAACGAAGCGACGGTCTCCGGGGTCTCAAAGCGCGGCGAGCGTTTGCCATAGAGGACGGAAAGGATGACGGAGCTCGAATACCGCTGCATATGGTTATAGAATTTCTGAAGACACAAGGTTAACCATTGAAATCGGAAGTAATAAGAAACGGACGTAAGTACGAGTCCTCAGACGTGCACGATAGTGACAACGACTATATCGGGAACAAACTGTACCTAATAAGAAACGGACGTAAGTACGAGTCCTAGTCTAATGGTAAGTACAGTGTGAGCAATATACAGAGAGTCCAGCATACCTCAGACGTGCACGATAGTTATTAGTGACAACGACTGAGGAAGGAGAGACGCGCGTCGCACAGCTTATGTGCTGGCCGCCAATCACGTCAACGGGGAAGGTCCCCGAAATCCGGATTGCCCCGAACGGGCACGCGCCCAGGAACGCGTCGAATGGACGCGTTAAATGAGCTGAAAGAAAGCTCGAAGGACTGATTCTCTCAACAGGAAGGGAAGGAGAGGATACCTCGGGCGCATGGAGAATATCGCGAATCAGCTGCAAAGTCTCAGCTTTTTGAATGGGAAGGTGGCGGAGAGACGCTTGGGGCGTCAAAATAGTATGAGCCGCTTTGCGGAGGATTCTCCAGTTCTCGTCTGGCAAAACGAAGGTTATTTGTCTGGCATTCGAGCGAAGAAA